CTAGGGAACATAGTAGGGACCATGTTGGGTGGATGTTGGAAGATGAATGGGGCTGTTTTGGTTTCCTATTGTGACCAGGGATTAAAATAGAAAGAAGAGACTTTATTTTGGATATCAAAAGGAAATAAAATACTTTTGGATGTTTGGGGTTGGGTTGGACGGAAAAGGGGGTTGACCAGCGGAACCCTTAGGTCAAAAAACGAAAGTTATTTTGGCCTTTCGGGCTAAAGGATGTTGAATTATCACTAAAATGGATCATAATGTGTGAACCTAAGTCCTTTGGTTTCCATGAGGGTGTGGGATATGGAGGAGGGTATGATAGGCTCGGGCCCAGATATATCACATTGGCACAAACTTTTAGAACTGCAGAATTATAAATAAAAGGATAAGGATACTAAGTGGCCACTTTGTTGACTTATTAGCTTATCTGCCGGACTCTTTAACCAAACATTAACTTATTTGTTTGTGCACCCAGATTTCAGAATTGGGTAATAATGAAAAAGGAGGGCTAGGGGTACTTTTTTTCACTTTATGAGTGAAGCTGCTCAAAATGATCATACATTCATATTGCCTGTTAATCACACATTTGTTTATTTTATCAGTAAAATATATCATAAATGTATCATTTTACTATTCAGATATTTCAACTTCATCAATACTACCATACTAGCAAAAAACAATTTCAGAACACAAGTTCACCAAGCTAAGCAATTTCAGCCTTACAAGTTACAAATGGGCTCTAAAGTCTGAAGTGGAAACAATCTAAGAGAAAATATGTCTTCTAGAAGGAACCCGAAGGTATAACAAAGAAGTGCCACATTCTGACCCACTATGCAATCAAACATTCATCAGGTCAGATCAAGCTTCTGCAATATAATCCCAACACTGTTTTGGTCAGGGGGTCACATGAACATGGCATTACACCTGTAAAAACCTAGTGGCAGTTTTTGTTAGACCATTGATGCCTTGCTGCATTTACTACCCAAAACTTCATAGAAAGTAAGAAGCGAAGAAACTTTAAGGTGCCCTTTTTATTTAGATATTGACTACCACACTACAAAGGATGACAAGCTTTTGAACCCCAAGTTATGATGTTGAAAATTTAAGTCTTACATCTTTCTTCTGCAAAGAAATCACGGATGCTAATGTTGAGACATTCCAAACCCTACAACAGCCACTTCCGACAGATGCAAGAAATTTGCCATCAGGGCTGCAGAGATAATCAAATCAACATAATTAGAAGTCCACACTGTATTATGTTAAGGTCGTAAAGGTATTGATGGTATGAAGCTAATGATAAGAAAAAGTAACCACCATTAACCTGAAATCTAAATCTTTTACAGAAGCATCGTCCACCTCATCAATTATAATTTCCATGCTAGGCCATTTGAAAACTCTTAGCTTGCCATTCTACTCTGAATAAAAAAATTAAAATCAAGAAAGGCGTTTTGTTTTACAAAAACAATATTTGCTGCATTTTAAAAGTCACACATAAATAATGAAATAGAGCATATCAATTAACACACAATGAAAGAAAGTGGCTTTATCTAAAAGAGGAGAAAATGGGAGCAAGTGTTCGTATCTATGTATGCGTAAGCACCTTGTTGAATAGCTCATAGAATGTAACTTTACAGAAAGACAATGACAATTCCACTTTCTGATTTGCTAAAATTCCAACTCTGGACATTTTTTGGGCCCTGAAAATATTGTACGGACATACTCTATCCTACCTCTGGGATACCCTTCCTAAACCATTCGGCAGGGAATGCTACTATGCAACTCAGTTCTATTGAACCTTTGTCTGTTTTATCTTTCACAATTCAGAATAGAGAGATCTTGTACAAACGTAAAATGTTGTGAAAGGTGAACCAAAACAAAATATTGTCAGTAGCAGAAAAGAAGACATCTACCTCACCACCAACAGCAAGTAGAGAACCCTCATTGTTAAATGTTAGTGCTAATTGCTGACCAATGTCTTCCAACTGTTTAAGAACTCTCTTGGATGATTTTAGGGTTAATGCACTATCATCTGATTTTTTTATTGCATCCCACTCAAACCATCTGCAAGAGGGAAACCAAAAATTAAGTGAATGATGTCAACATCCACAAAAACATAGATTCAGTTTGGAAGTTCAAAGGTTGAAAGAGTTAAACAGCACAAAATCTATCAGTGTAAGACTTTATATGATAAAAAGACAACAAAACAACAAAATCAACTTATTTCCCACAAATGGGGTCTTGGGAGGGTAGGATGTACAATGCACGCACACCTTACCTCTACTGTAAAGGATGGAGGGGCTATAAAGACCGAATACTTCCAATTGTAATGTGTTACTTCGTATGTCTGAAATAAACCCATC